ATATTTCTTACAGGTACCATCATCATATTTCATATCGCACACCTTTTAGGGGGACTCAGGGTAGCAGGTTGAGGGAGAGTTGTGATATGTGTGGAGGGGTGCAGGAGTCAGGGCTGTGGAGTGTGAGGAACCATTCGGCAGAGGATTGGGATATGTACGGGGGTGCAGGATTCAGGGAAGGGGGTTGGAGGTGGGGGGGCTTGGCAGGAGGGATAGGGGAATGCAGATGTCAGGACAGGGACTGGCAGTGTGGGGGACTCAAGGCACGGTGCGGGTGTGTGTAGAGGGGGGAATAGAGTGCGGCAAGGATGACATTTAGGGAGGGTGGAGAGGCTGAAGTTCCCCTGAGATTCATACTCAGACATTGCTGCTCCTCCCCTTTCTGTCACTTTCAGGGAGCGAGAGGAAAGTGCTTAGTATGAGTCGCTAACTCCTCTGCCCTCCCCTATCCCAGCCAAGAGAGAGGAATGCAGGCATGCTGTGTGCTTTCCTCTTGCTCCCTGGCAATGATAGGTAGGGGGAAGAGCAAACAGCATCCTGTTAAGATTATCAGTATCGACTCCCTTGCCCTTCAGTCCCCCTGCCCTCCCTAAATGGCACACTGGGAATGGGGCTTGGGGCTAGAGCAGTCCCAGACCAGTGTGGGTTGTGCCCTGAGCCAGCCACTTTCACCTGCCTGGTTGCCTTCTGCTTAGTGCGGCAGCCTGCATATGAACTCTGGGAGCCCAACTGGAAGAGCACCCCACCTCTTCCTGCATGTGAGCACCCCAGCCTGCCATCTCCTTCTTGCTGGCGCAGCACACTGGGGCATACCACCTTCCTTTTGATTGCTATCCTTCTTTCTGTGTTGCCGCCTTCAGAGCTAGCCTCTCGTCAGCAGATGCCACTCTCCAGCAGCCCAGCTCTGAAGGAGGTAACAGAAATATGTGTAGCATTTTATGGTATTGCTGCCCTTATCTATGTGCTATTGCTAGCAGAGTGATGCCTTCCGAGCTGGGCACCTGACCAGCAGCCACTGCTTTCTGGCCACCCAGCTTTGAAGGCAGCATAGAAATAAGGGTGACAATAACCTTGCAATCTCCTTTTATGATGCTTAGTCGTGTTGGGCCCCCTAGTTTGAGAAAATTCATCACAGACTATGAAATCTGGTCTCCCCTGTGAAATTTGTAAGAATCTTTTGAACACCAAAAACAAACAAACCCAAAAACAAAACCCAGATTTCATGGGGGAGACCAGATTTCATGGTCTGTGATGCATTTTTCACAGCTGTCACTTTGGAAGGGCCTTACGTAGACGTAAAACTCATTGCAGTAGGAATCACACCCACATCTTTCAGCTTCTTCCCAGAATTCAGACACTGCTGAAATATCTGCTAACTAAAGGATGGGGAGAATACTGACAGGCAAATCACAGAACCATTGTATACTAGAAATAAAAGGGACCTTGAGAGGTCATCAAGTCCAGTACCCTGCCCTCACAGCACAACTAAGCATCATCTAGCAGCTGAAGTGCTTTGTGTGATTGATTTGTGGCCTATTTGGGAAAGGTCTGCAGTCGAGGTCTGTAAGTAGCCCTGGTTTTGGGCAATTCGCCCTGAGTTGATGCCCTCAGTGGTGCCCAGACCCATCCCAGTAAGTTACACTTGCCCTTAATTGTTTTAACCCAGGGTGCAGTTGGAGCAGATTTTCAAGCTTTGTTTTGCAAACTAGTGGGGCTAGATTATTTTTAAATGAAAGCCAAGATTACTACAAATTCTCATAACTCCTTGAGCTTTTAGAGTTTTAATTTAAGAAAAAACACCAAATATCATAAGACTCATGCTAAAACCAGAAGAATTATCATTGCCACTGTAGATTATGGATAACTAGATCTGTAGCTGTATACCTATATTTCAAAAAAAGGAATATTGTCTCACCACTAGATGGAAATAGAGTGTTTTCATCACCTTGTTGTATTGCCAAGCAGGTGAAACAGAAGTTTATGAGCATATAAATCCTTTGCAAACAGGAAAGCAGACGTTCTGGATCAAGAATTATTTTGCAATGGCAGAGTACTTCTGCTTCTAGTGAGGCATAGTCCTATGCTCAGTCATAAGATAGAAGAGTCAGTGCTTACATGAAAGATTGTAAAGATCAGATGTTCTGTTTGATCCATAATAATTGGATGAGTTTTAATTTATTCTTTTTTGAAATCAAGACTGCGAGACCTACAGCACAGTAGCTGCTGTGACATTAAATAGATAGTAAATATCAGGCTAATGCACTCCAGATCCACTTGCATAAGCAAGAAAGATTAAAGAGGAAGAAAGGTGAAGGGTTTGTTTCAAGTTAGCTATTTAATGACAAGAAAACCATGTGATTTACTTTCTTATGAATAGACTTTATTCACATATTTTTAAAAATAGGGTTACTGAAGATTTAAACACATATTGAGCAGTAATTGACAACCCAGTGCCACCAAAAAAGGGAATATTGATCTGATTGTTTGGTTTATGGGATTGAACGACAGGATTTGTTCAAGCTTTTCTTTTAAAAAGCCTGATTGATACAAGATCAGGTCAAAAACTGACTGATTTTTGGTGAAAAATCTGTCCCTTTTTTCAAGGAATAATTTGGGAATTTAAATTTTTCCAGAAAGCTTCATGAATTAGCTTTACTGCAAATTCTAATGCCTAAAGAGAGAAGAACACTAGTTGCTCCAACTGCACCAAAACAATTCAGAATCCTGTCACATACTGGTTCAAAACCCCAGAACCAGCACAGGGATCTTACTGTACTGATTTAATTTTTGATCACTTCTACAACACACCCAAACACCCAAGATCCTAATGCATCTTGAGATTTGCTAGAGCATGAATTTTTCTGGTCAGATAGGAATGACACCACAGCAACGTCTAGACTGGCATGATTTTCCGCAAATGCTTTTAACGGAAAAGTTTTCCGTTAAAAGCATTTGCGGAAAATCATGCCAGTCTAGACGTTGCTGTGGTGTCATTCCTATCTGACCAGAAAAATTCATGCTCTAGCAAATCTCAAGATGCATTAGGATCTTGGGTGTTTGGGTGTGTTGTAGAAGTGATCAAAAATTAAATCAGTACAGTAAGATCCCTGTGCTGGTTCTGGGGTTTTGAACCAGTATGTGACAGGATTCTGAATTGTTTTGGTGCAGTTGGAGCAACTAGTGTTCTTCTCTCTTTAGGCATTAGAATTTGCAGTAAAGCTAATTCATGAAGCTTTCTGGAAAAATTTAAATTCCCAAATTATTCCTTGAAAAAAGGGACAGATTTTTCACCAAAAATCAGTCAGTTTTTGACCTGATCTTGTATCAATCAGGCTTTTTATATGTTTGTCTATTTTGATAGCTCAGGATTCCTTCCCTCTCCCTCCCCCCAAAAAGTGGCAGGATCCAACCACTCCGGAACTTAGTGAGCTTTTGAGCAGGGATGAATTGGGATTTGTAGTTTTCAGTGGGACTAGAGCAGACGCACTACTCTACTTGGTAGAATTATGGGAACAAAGCCCGAGTTTGATTCATCTTGATTGAGGCCTGACATACATTTTTGTGGTGTTTCTGTGCCACTCTGCGGCAGCTAATAGTTGCTTTGTTTTGTCTTTTGGAGCAGAATTTGGGGGAATTTCCATTAAAAAATTGGCATGGACCAGGTGTCAAATGTGTATTGCCAGTGTTAAGCTGGAATGAATGACGGTTTCAATTTTTCCAATTTAGATATAGAGTCTTCTGGGCAGGAACTGTGTACTATTCTGTATCTGTATAGTTCCTAGCACAATGTGGACCAATTCAAGGATGGTCCGGGCATGGTTAATAATAAATGATATAGTTTGGTGGCTGGTACCCCAAATTGCTAAGCTCTATGGAACCAGATGCAAGATTTTGGTTTTGCATCAACTTGTGCATGGAAGTGCATTATGAACTATTTTCCAATGCTGTCAGAGTGGCTCTGCTTGTTCTTTTTACATGCCTTGAAACGAGAGCCAAAACTGGGTGTCTCTAATAGGATCCATGAGCTAGACTCTTTTTGCCAGAAATGCACAATGGTTCAAACGCTTGCAGTGCAGCAAGAGCAGCTAGTTAGTCACTAGCTTGGGGCCAAGATTTACCTTGATCCATCAGGATGCAGGTGCTGGATCAAGGTTTTTGCTGCATCAGGGTCTGGATGCGTGCCTGTGTGCAGCATCTGCAGTTGCACTTGTTCATACTAAAAGCAATGTGTGGTCCTGTGGCATCTTAGAGACTAACAAAAATATATATCAGGAGCTTTCATGGGTAAAACCCACCTGATCAGTATTTTCTTTCTTGTAAACTTCCTTCCAGTTTAAGTTCATTTGGATTGCCAACCTCAAATGTTCAAAAATAACAAAGGAGCCCCCACCCAAATCTTGAGACTGAATTTTAAAATGTTGGAGCCCTTTGAATTGTGGGGTCATGTTTTCAGATGAAGTGGGTTTTGCCCATGAAAGCTCATGCTACTGCACATATATCTAAGGTGCCACAGGACTACTTAGTTACAGTTACAGACTAACAGGGACTTGTTCACGCCGGTGAGAGCGGAGGGTCCCTCTGGGGGCTTGGTTACAAAACCTGGCAGGCTCCAGCGGGCTGCAGGTGGGTCAGCGGTACCTTTCCCCGGCGGGGCGAGGAAGGGAGGCGTTTAGAGGTGCAGCTGTCCGGAGGGGGGGAGCGGCGCTGTTAAACCCTGAGCACCTGCACGTTCCCGTCGGGCTCCAGCAGCCACAGCACTTGGCTCGCGCCCGAAACGCCGACGCTGCGCTGCAGCAGGTCGCAGCTTGCAGGCGCTGACTGCGCGACACCTCGCCCAGCGCCCCGGGACAGGCAGCGGTGTGAACCCCACCCGCTCCGGCTCCGCGAGCCAAGCCCTGACGTTGCCTCTCTCCATTGGCGCCCTCCAGCAGCCCACGTGCGGGGCAGCTGCATAAAGGCGCCTCTGGCGGCGGGGCTCTCTTTACAAGCTCGCACACTCCTCCAGCGTCGGGACGCCTCTGCGCCAAGCCGCCAGCACCGTAGCATGGACTGTTTTATAGGCAAGTGGAGCCTCGTCTCCAGCGAGGGCTTTGACGAGTATATGAAAGAACTAGGTAAGGAAGCTTGCGCGGGCAGAGAGCGCGCGTGGGATACAGATCCTGCCTCGCCGGCTGAGGGAGGGGAAGGTGGGCAGGCTGGGGCTCCGTGTTTCTGCTATGGGGTGGGAAATAAAGGTATAACTCCCCCCCCCACCCCCAAACATTCAGGGCTTCTCTGTCTGTTACGTTTGGGCGAGGGGGAATGAAGTTTGTTGGGCTCTGATTTCTGAGACTATCTCCCTAAACTTTATTGCTGCTGCTCGCTGTAAGGAAAACGCGCTCCCCGTGCTGGGATATGCGTGTGTGAGAATGTATTTGCGTCTGTAAATATGGGGTTTGTGCGGGCGAGGAGATACGAGTTAAGCTGCCCCTTCCTTGGACTCCACTCTACTAGCTCTTCTAGGAGCTACAGCTTTTGTGCCTGGCTTCTTTAACTCCTTGGCTGCTCTGCCCAAATTCTGCGGGGGGCGTTTCAGTGTCAGGTGCTAGGAGTCGGCTGGGCTAGGCTGATCGGAGACCAGGACAATGGGATGCGGTCTCGGACGCAGCATAGGGCTACGTGTGCTAAACGAAAGGAGACCATGCCCACGGACTCAACATAAAAGCAGCCATGCGACATGGAGCTGTGGGTAGAACAGCAAGAACATCTGTCCCTGTTGGCTAAACCAACCACTTCTGGGCACAGCGTGCTCTCCTGGAGAGTGGACATCTTGGACTGACTTTGGCCCTGCTCTGGAGTTAAGGGACTAGAGAGGAAAACAAACTCCAGTAAAGAGACAATGCATGAATCTTCATTATACTGCACCTGAGTTGGGTACAACTGTCATCTGCCTTCATTGCCCAAACAAGGCATTTGCTGTGAGGCATTTGTAATCTTTGTAGCTTGCTGTCTTTCTAAACCACTGGACCATAATCTGCTCCCAGTTCCACTGAAGTAACTTGCTGTCTTTCTAAACCACTGGACCATAATCTGCTCCCAGTTCCACTGAGGTAACTGGACTTCCTCTAGATTCACAGCAGTGGGAGTGAGAGCAGATTGGGACTGCATGGTATAATCACCTTGACTTTCTTATTGTAATACAGTAAACACAGTAGCCTGCCTATTATCTGGTGGAGAGGACTATGTTTTGTAGTAAATCTGCAAAATCAGAATACACTGGATTGAAAGGGACTACAATCACAGTTCTCTTTATTAACACTTCAGTAAGATTGTAAATGTGTGTGCACAGTGGCATGCTTTTAGTTAAATGACAGTGAATAGTGTTTAGTGCAGGTGGGCAAATGATGACATGCTGAGTGATTTGTGTTGGAAATCCACAATTATCAGCTTCTTCCTATTTTCTATTAAACTTATGCTCTTACATGAATTTGTTTGACAACCAATTATTAGAAGGGGTTATATTCATACAGCTGCTACTGGGATACATTTTACAACTAGGTCAGAATCTTTTCAGTGATATATTGTACACATATTCCTTAACTGTTCCAGTTGCATAGAAAGTGACCTGCTAGTGCTACAAGTGTCTTATTTCTTGTAAACTTCCTCCCACTTTAAGCTTACAAGACTTGCCAGCCCCAACTGTTGAGAAACACAAGGGAGTCTCCACTCCCCAAAATCCTGAGATTAGTTAAAAATGTTGGGATCCTCCTAATTTTCCTTTATGGGTTTTGAATCTTTTGAGGTCATGTTTTCGAGATGAGTGATGGGCTATTTGGATATGGAATTCTTTCCATCTTCTCTGTTGAAGCTGCTTCCTTGTGGATACATTAGAGTGATTGGAGTGAGGGGACTGGGCCCTGGGGTCTCCTGCCTACTAGATTGGGGCCTTAGCCATTGGGCTACCGAGTCTTTTCTCTTTGTGCTGCTCCCAGTGTCTTTCACTGAGTATAAATAGTCATTGCACCAGAGAGGAAATGATTCTGTACTCCAGTAGTTGGCGCACCTATGTGGGATAGCTATGGCCAGTTCCCTTCCCCCAATCACTTTCATTATTGATCCATAGCAGAGCAGCTTCACCAGGAGACTGAAGGAGCCAAACTAGACACAGAGCTAGGTCAGGTGAGTGCTTTCTTGAGAAATGGGCTACCACTGTTCAATTCAATTATTTTCCCCTGCCCTTCTTAGGTAGCAGGGAACTGAACCTATATCTTCCACATCCTAAGCAAGTGCCTTAACTACAGAGCTAAAATTAAGCAGGCAGCTCCTTCAGCTATTTCATAGGCAGCAGCAAAGCAAACATTTTACTCTTTCCTACAAGAAACAGGTGCTGGAGCTGCTTGATTCCAGGTGGTGGCTTTCTGCTAATGGATCACTATTGCTAAGCAAATATAGGAATCTCCTTGCAGCTCACATTTGGAAGCCTGTATCTATAGAAGGGGAGGGGCTTAGCACACAACACACACACACACACTACTTTAGCATCTCCCAATGGCTAACTTAAGTGGCTTCTGATCTGTCATGTTGGCTTTTGTAGCTACCATTTGAAGGCTCCTCTTGCTCCATGCATTTGTAGCCCCTCCTGCTCAGTATTAGGTTATTCAACACAGAGGAAGCTTTTTGGCTTCCCACAACCCTGGGAGACTAGTCCTGAGGCTCTTTTGTGTACTCTGTGTGCACTTCAGACCAAATCCACTCAGGCAAATCACCAGGAACAGGCCTTATTCGCTAAGGAACCTAGAACAGGATTACAGTTCAGCAGCCTCTTTTCTGCTTGCATATGTGGGAGAAAAATCAAATAACTCCAATTGTGTCTAAGGGGGGACACTGGAGGAAATCAAAACTCTCTAAAAGAAAACTGCTGTAAGGGTTAAAAGTCTTCCAGACCTCTCTCCCTGTATCAGAGTGAAATCAAATTAACTCTAATCAAAGACCCTTACAAATGCCTATCTCAAATTCATGGATACTCCTAGTCTGTCACAAATTATCATGTATACTCTTATCTTTGTCACAGTTTGCCTTGTAAGACCACTCACTCCACATTCTCATGTGCCTTTGTTTTGTAAAATAGTGATAGAGATGTAGCCGTGTTAGTCTGGTGTAGCTGAAACAAAATACAGGACTATGTAGCACTTTAAAGACTAACAAGATGGTGCTAAAGTGCTACATAGTCCTGTATTTTGTTTCAGCTACACCAGACTAACACGGCTACATCTCTATCACTATTTTACAAAACAAAGGCACATGAGAATGTGGAGTGAGTGGTCTTACAAGGCAAACTGTGACAAAGATAAGAGTATACATGATAATTTGTGACAGACTAGGAGTCTCCATGAAGTTGAGAGAGGCATTTGTAAGGGTCTTTGATTAGAGTTAATTTGATTTCACTCTGATACAGGGAGAGAGGTCTGGAAGACTTTTAACCCTTACAGCCGGCCTCGGACACTTCTGGGGGCTCTGTACCCCAGGGGAACGAGATTTTCCCCCTCATGTACTGCATGCTCCTAGGGTTGCCAGATGGTTTCAACAAAAATACTGGACACTTGACATTACATCACAATCTACATTACATCTTATTTAGAAAATACTAGACCTCTATATTTTCTCATTTTGTTTCCTGAACAGAGCTTAAATACTGGACTGTTCAGTTCAAAACCAGACACCTGGCAACCCTACATGCTCCCAGCTCAGTCTGTGCTGGGTGGGGGAAGGGACAGAAGCGCAGAGGCAGGAACCAGGAAGTTCTCCCAACATGCCACAGTTTGTAGGCCAGAGCTTGCAGTTTCAAGGGTTGCTCCTGAAGCACACTGAATAGGAGGAATCCCGTTAGGTGCTTCACTCAGGCTTGGTGGATTGTAGCATGTTTCTTTGAATTTTTTTCCCTAGGTGTTGCCACATTGAGCATTACAATGTCATTGTTGGTCCAAGCCTTTCTGTTCTGGATTCCTATCTCATCACAGTGGCATTCATTAATGTTTTTCCCATTCCTGAGTGGGATGCACTAATATGGAGGGGATGTGTGACACATCACTTTCATTGTAGTGCACATAACTTGTGTGGCAGGAGTGGGGTCAAGGGTTCTGAGTCTGAGGGGACTCAGGGCTGGGGCAAGGCTCGGGGGTGGGGCTGAAGGTTTGTAATGCAGGTGAAGAGTCAGGTCTAGGGGCTGGTGTGCAGGAGGGGGACCCAGACTCTGGGCTAGTGTCAGGGTACTGCACTGATGGGCAGTGAGTGGGCTGCATGAGTAGCCCTCTCTCAGTGGGCTGCAAGATTGTTGTAACCAAGATGGCCTACTGGGTTAGGGTAGTTTTGCAAACAGCAGTTGCGTACCTAGTATTTGCATGATGTGCCATGATGCAACTGTAGTGGTGCTTTGGTTGGATGCAGTTGGAATGCACAGCTCTCGGTCAATGTTGTGTGCAATCAACATGCACCTCATATTCATCAGGCCAGGGCATGTGAAGTGTCATTTGTACTGGTTTGGGGGGGGGGGGGGGGACTGTGGATGGAAACCAGGAGACTCTGGCAACCCCAAGCATGGGCCACAGTGAAGCAAATGTCTTGGGCCACACTGAGAACCCTGATGGGCTTCAGGTTTCCCACCCCAGGGATACAGGCTTTGGGCTGGGCATGAGGATGATCAGGGCTGGAGAGGGGGACTCAAGTTGAGGCTCAGGGTGACTTGGGTGTTGCCTTGCTAGGGATGGTGAGGAGGGGTCCCTTTCTCTTGGCCATGCCTGGTGGCAGCTCTTTGGCTTGAGAGTCCTTTTTCCCTGCTTCACCCCTAAGCTCCGATGCTTAAAGGCATACATCTAAGTTGCCCCTATTGGCTTCATATTATATACTACCCTGTCTGGGGGAGGGGGGGGAGCACTTTAAGATTATTCAAAGTAGGATGTTAAATATCGGTTAATAATAAACATCATCAATTCTTATTGGTTAGCTGACTAGTCTATAGTCCCCGGGCAGCCCCTGTCCAGTGGGGAGAGGTCTGAGCTTCCTGGACCCAGAATGAGCCTGCCTGCCTGGCTCCTAATATCCCTGCTGCAGCTCTGCATTTAAAGTGTAGGTCTGGGACCCAGTGCAAGCTGGGCTGCTGGCCAGCCTGCTAAAAACTGTACTGGCAAAGGGTGGGGTGGGAGGGGGAAACGCATGTCATCTATAGCATTAACATATAAGCTTTTGCTTATCAGTTAATAAATTACACTATTTCAAAGTACAGCTTACTACAGAATGCAGATACTTAATTCTTGTATAAAGAATGTCATCCTAGGACCTAGAGATCTGTGCTGGCTTACAATTTGCTGTTGAATGCAGCTTAAATGGATGGTTAAGAGCTGCTATATCAAGGCCAGCATTACACAATTCTTGAGTAACCCCAAAGCCCAGCACCTGTTCCGTGAGTTGAGGTGGGTGAAGCACTCAAGCTAGTGAGTCACTGGATTAATCAAGAAGGGATTAGAGGCAAGGTATCTTTTGATGAAGGGATCTCGATAATTATTCTAACAGTGTACTGAAGTCCTAATTCACTGACTTTCAAGTCCTGCTCCAAAGATCACTTTTTTCTATGATCTTTCTGTAGGATTGATCTTTTTTTGGGGGGGAGGGGGGAAGGAATGAAGTCTTTTAGTTTTGGGAGGCTTTAATACTCTTACAATGCACGTTGTCAGACCAGTGTCATCTCTTACACGCATGTCTGACAGTTGGGTATTTGTAAGCAAGTTTGAAGAAAAATCCATAAGTTTTGTTTTAAATGTGTGTACATGTAGAAGTGGATTAATGTTGCAGGTTAGTCAACAGGAGGCTTTTTTAAAACAGTTCACTTACAAGTAGATTGTGTCCAACTTTAACACTACTTTACAAGTATTTCCCCTTTTCCACCTTGCACATCTATTTGTGCAAACTCAGATACTGCTCATCAGGAGACCTGCAGGTCATAGGGGGAGACGGATTCAATTGAACTACAAGTATTCAGGACAAATGGGTCTGCACAATGAATTTCTCTTCTCTCATTCTGGATAACTAAAAGGGATTCTCTCTGGGCTTATGGTTTTGTATCCCTTCTGATAGATGCTTGCTCTTGCCCTGTAGGTGTGGGTATGGCCCTGAGGAAAATGGGGAGCATGGCCAAACCTGATGTAACGATCAGCAAAGATGGAGATACAATCACCATAAAAACAGACAGCCCCTTAAAATCTTCACAATTGAGCTTCAAGCTGGATGAGAAATGTGAGGAAAATACATTAGATGGCAGGAAAGTTCAGGTTAGTACAAGTTTTGTTTATTAGTGAATGAACACAGTCCACTAAAGTGGTTGGCTTGCAGATATAAATGCTGTTTATGAACATGAACCCAGTTTCTTTCCCCCTTTTTTATGTTAAATAGTACTCTGCTCTGTTGGTGGATTGGTGCCCCAGTCATCAAACCACCATTGAAATCCCCGTGTAGACAGGCTGCTTGCTGTCCCATTCTTCTGCCTTTGATACAGAGGCAGCACCATGGGGTGACAGCAGCCTCTGTCCATGGAGTCTCAGAGCTCCCCACGGACAGGCTGGTCCACGGCAGTGGCCTCTGTCTGCAATGAGTTTGGCTGCTCCACTCCCGACAGCATCCATAGCAGCAGCACTGCCTCTGGCTGCAGTGAGCCTGAGCGGCTGCAGAGAGGCTGCTTTGGAGCAGCTTCCCCTGTTCCTCCTTCCCACACACTGCCACCTCTGATAGCTGCAGCGGGGAGGGGTGGTGGCACCGCAGAGCTGGTAGCCTTCCCCCCAGCACTGGCTCCTGCCTGCCTCTCTTTGCTGCCTCTGTAGGAGGCAGTGGAGGAGGGACAGGTGGGTCTGCTGAGCCTGCTTGAGAGCTGGCTCTCTGCATTCATCAGCTCTAGCCTGCCTCCCTCACCATCTGTGCTGCTGCCACTATCAGCAGTGAGGGGATACGGAAGCTGGCAGATCTGGTGTTCATGGGGCACTTGCTTAAAGCCAGCTGCTCATAGGCACTGCCCCTCTACTTTTACTGCCTGAGATACAGAGGCAGCAAGGTGGGGAGAAATGTGTGTAGTTGACAAGATTGATTAATCCCAGGCACATTGATTGATCATAGTTAACTATGGGTCTGGATTAGGGATGTCAAAAAATGCCCAAGGCCAAATTTCACTTTCATTGACATTTAAGTCCAAAAAAAGTTTGACTTTATGGGACTCCTACAACTAATCTGATGCAGTGTCACACCTTTATTTAATGTGTCTCTGTCTGACTAAGTTAAATGTGATTCGGACACCATATTTCCCTAACTTTACAGAAGTGCAAGTAGGTTCCAACTTGACTGATTTAAAAGGCCTATCCATGGAAAGAGGTGGCTGAGTGAGGGAAGATTATGCCGTCTTCACAGGATTCTCCCAGGTCAATTATTTGCTTGTGGGAATGCTGGCCACTTGCCACAACTCTCCCAGGCCTCATCTCTGTATTGGCATCTGTCAAGTGCAAGGTTGAGACCTAAATGCTACAAAAAGCCAAGGCACACGTAATGACAAGATCAACTTGGTATGTGAAGCAAGTCATGTCCACTTAAACAGTGCATGCTGTTGAATCCTTCTTTCATGTGCAAGAATCCTTCTTTCATGTGCAAGTGTGCCAAAGTAGTGACTAAAGTAGCCAAGTAATGAGAACAGGAGTCACGAGAGTGAGTGGAATCCTGGCCCCGCTGAAGTCAATGGGAGTTTTACCATTGACTTCAGTAGGGCCTTGAAGTAAAGTGGGCGGGGGGGAAGAGGAGGGGATGTATCCCTTCCAGTCAAAGAATGAGTAAAGTATTGAAGTCCTGCATCTCTTTTCAGACCCTTGTCACTTTAAATGATAACACATTGACTCAGCGCCAGGAGTGGGATGGCAAGGAGTCCACAATAACACGGAAGATAGAGGATGGGAAACTGATTGTGGTGAGTGCATGCCTCCTTTCTGATCAAGTATTTCAGGACTGTAAACAATAGCAGGAATAGGGATATTAATTTTTTTTAGTAATTGGATACAGGCAGTCCCCGAGTTACGCGGATCCGACTTATGTTGGATCCGCAGTTACGAACGGGGCTTTTCTCGCCCCGGAGGACGGGAGCGGCGGGACACCCAGATGAGCCGCGGTCCCGCCACCCGTGTCCTCCGGGGCGAGAAAAGCTGCTCCCCGTCTCCCTGGTCTGCTGGTCAGACCAGGGAGACCGGGG